TGCCTAGTTCAGTTCAGCCACATTCCGCTACAGTTCGCCTTTATTATCAGTTCGAAATGGGGTGGTTCCATAATACCCGCAGTGTTCCATAATACCACCTTCTCCTCTATTCTTGACACTTTATTGTGTCAAATAGATTGGCGTAATGAAAAAATGAAAACTATCTGTGACGATTGTTGCTTTCTCTGTGGCTCGTCTTTACAATACTTGAGTGATGCTGATTTTAAAAATTCGGCTGCAGATCTCGCTATTAAATATAGCAAAGATTTAAAAAAGTACGAATTCAGAAGTGAAATCGAAAATTTTAATTTTGAAGTAACGAATCTTATACAAAATATAGAAACTGCATCTCCGCTTAATATTCTACAGGCTCTTCATGATTTTGGTTTAATTGAGTCTTACCCAAATATCAATGTCGCTCTTCGAATATTTCTAACTCTTCCCGTTTCTATTGCTTCGTGCGAAGGAAGTTTTAGCAAGTTAAACTTAATAAAAAATTATTTAAGATCAACTATCGGACAAGAACGAGTGTCCAATATTTCTATTATTTCAATAGAATACAATATCGTTAAAAATATTAACTATGAAGGTGTAATTAATGAATATGCTGAAATGAAATCCAGAAAACTTCAATTAAAATAAATCTTATTAAAAATCTATTGTAATGTATTTGTTTTATTATTTTCCCAAAACCAAATAAATTAAAGGGCCTAAATGCAAATTCTTGCACAGGGCACGGGAATGGCTAGTTACGGCTCTGAATTTGGGTACCCACATTATTACATAACTTTTCACAAAATAAGACTGCCATATTATCTGTACTGTAAAGTGGTTCCCCGACATCAGTTTGTGTTCCAGTGTTATGTTTGGTGATCAAAGGTATGGTTTAGGTGACCACATCCATGCTGTTATCCACACTCTCCACCTTTTCTTCTTTCCTTCTTGCCTGCCTTAAAAACCTACCAGCATTTCCACAACCCTGTTTCTTGTAGCATGTTGGAAAAAGTGTGGGAACGTATGCTGGATGATCAGGGTGGTCAATTTTCCGTCCACCTACAAAATGCTGACTGCAGACTTTACTGTACTATGTGGGTTGTCAAGGTTTGCCATATTTTCTGAAAAAAATGTTTTTAATTTTACATATTATATTACATTACAATTATCAAGCAATTTTGGTCACTGTTTGACTAATGAATTACTTGAAATGATCTTTAATACCGTCCCTGGCTAATAATGACATTATTAAGCATTTTATAAATTTTGTTATTTATTATCAGGATTTTAGATTTACAGAAATACGAAATATTTTGGTATTTTTAATAAGTTATTACTCAATGCACTACGTAAACAATGGGTAGTAATATAAAGTGGACTACACCNTTGAATTAAATTCTTAAAAATATTACATTAAGTCTATTTTATTTTTATTTTACTTTTTTTGCAAAATACTCAAAACTGTAATTTTGCATTATATTTGTGTGAAATTTTTCATTAGTAGTGACTATAGAACAAACAAGTTTAAAATTGTTAAATCATAGGTATGGAAGAATTGTAAAATAAATAAATCTAAGCAATTTTAAGAGAATTATATATATGCAAAAAATAAAAATAAAATAGACCTATTGTAATATTTTTAAGAATTTAATTCAATTAACTTCATTATTAATTTTTTACTATATTTTTTTGAATAAACTCTTATAGAATATAACATCTATATATAGAATATAATATCTATATATTAATTCAGGAACGTTATAATAAAAAAAAATGAACTTTTTTCAGAAAGTAGAAATAAATCCTGTTTCATATTTCTGTGTCAACAGTGTGATAAACCAAACCAAATTTTTTGATTCAATCTGAATTTCAAAATTTCTGAAAAATCTTCAGGATGATCTGCATCTGTTACCAAATCATTCAAGTCACTTTATATGAAAAATTGAAGTTGATCAGATGTATTTTCTGGCTGAAAAAATTCTAATGTTAATGCATTATTACTGTGCAAACTACAATGTTTACAAACATGGCATGTTCATTTTTAATTTGTATAAATGCAAACATATATAACTCTCTTAAAATCATTTAGATTTATTTCACAATTTTTCATTTACACTTAAAAAAAATATCCTGGTTTGGATGATAAATAATATAGTAAAAGGATGCATTGTGGTGATGTTTGTCCCATCTCTTTGTTGATGGATAAAATTATTACATTTTGCAATAATTAAAAATCTTAGATGAAATTTGAATGTTCTTAAGAATATTTTAAGAGTTATATAATATACTAGCTGCAAGGACCTGCTTCGCTGGGTTTTTAAAAAGTAACGATAGTGAAGATTAAGATAATTACATTATAGCCAATCTTACCCATTTTCACAGAATGCAAGAATTAGGCCCCCCATTTCCAGAGTAATTAGAGACCTGGTCCCAATTCTATTTCTAAACATCTCCTGTTCACGTCCAGTCAAACAAACTATTTTCAACGTTTTTGGAACGTTTACAATCGTTCTATAACCGAACCAATATTCGAATTTTATGTTTGAATTAAATTCGAACAAATTTGAACATAAAATTCGAAATAGAAAGCCACTTTCAACCACTTTCAGCCTCATATCTCCCCCACCCTTACAGCTATTGAGACGCAACCCCCCCTGGTGCACAAATGGAGACTTGGGGCTACTACCACATACAAACACCATTCACGTGCGATGTGTAGTTTTGGCGGAAAAGTGAAATATAGGGACATACATGTCCATTTTTATATATATATATATAGATATATAGATATTATATAACTCTTAAAATGCATCCTTTTACTATATTGTTTATCATCCAAACCAGGATATTTTTTAAGTGTGAATGAAAAATTGGCCTAAAAATGGTTAAAATGAACTGCTTTTTTAAATTACTTATATATTGACCTATAAATTGCATTAGAAGACCCATAAAATGATTATATTTAAAATTTTATTCTATTTTTAAGGGTTAAAAACAGGAGAAATCCAGAACTGTTTCAGACAACTGACACATATGATCATCCTTCCTTTAACAAAGATTAGATTCAATGATCATAGCAATAAGAAGGCAACTATTCTCAGTATGAAGCATTTTTATTGGAAGCATATTTTAATGCTTCATTCAAATTAAAAGCATTAAAATATCTTAACAAATCACTGAAAAATTAATAAAAATATTGAATGAGTGTAGAGTATTAAATGCATCACTGAAAATTAAGTAAATATGTAATTAGGAATTGAATGCTAAAATTACACCTCTGAATGAGAAGGTTGGGACCTTATCAGAGCCTTAGACCATACCCACAGAAGCAAAATGTCAAAGCAACCATATCTCTGCATGCAAACATTAGCAAGATACAGCCCCGGAAATCTGGGTCACAGGCGATCAGGCATCNCCCGTTTCCAGACTAATTAGAGACCTGGTCCCGATTCTATTTCTGAACGTCTCCTGTTCACGTCAAGTCAAACGAACTATTTTCAACGTTTCTGGAACGTTTACAATCGTTCTATAATTGAACCAATATTCGAATTTTACATTCAAATTTAATTCAAATATTGTTTGAATTAAATTCGAACAAAACATTCGAAATAGAAAGCCACTTTCAACCACTTTCAGCCCCATATCTCCCGCACCCTTATAGCTATTGAGACGCAACCCCCCCTGGTGCACAAATGGAGACTTGGGGCTACTACCACATACAAACACCATTCACGTGCGATGTGTAGTTTTGGCGGAAAAGTGAAATATAGGGACATACATGTCCATTTTTATATATATATATATAGATATATAGATATTATATAACTCTTAAAATGCATCCTTTTACTATATTGTTTATCATCCAAACCAGGATATTTTTTAAGTGTGAATGAAAAATTGGCCTAAAAATGGTTAAAATGAACTGCTTTTTTAAATTACTTATATATTGACCTATAAATTGCATTAGAAGACCCATAAAATGATTATATTTAAAATTTTATTCTATTTTTAAGGGTTAAAAACAGGAGAAATCCAGAACTGTTTCAGACAACTGACACATATGATCATCCTTCCTTTAACAAAGATTAGATTCAATGATCATAGCAATAAGAAGGCAACTATTCTCAGTATGAAGCATTTTTATTGGAAGCATATTTTAATGCTTCATTCAAATTAAAAGCATTAAAATATCTTAACAAATCACTGAAAAATTAATAAAAATATTGAATGAGTGTAGAGTATTAAATGCATCACTGAAAATTAAGTAAATATGTAATTAGGAATTGAATGCTAAAATTACACCTCTGAATGAGAAGGTTGGGACCTTATCAGAGCCTTAGACCATACCCACAGAAGCAAAATGTCAAAGCAACCATATCTCTGCATGCAAACATTAGCAAGATACAGCCCCGGAAATCTGGGTCACAGGCGATCAGGCATCATGTCACTCCACAAAAACTAACATGTTTAAAACTATTTAGCCCAGGTGACTATGCCATCTTTGAGTAGTCCAATTGACCATTCGTGGAGTACTCAACATTACATAATTTTAGAGGGATGCGGAAGCTCGTTCCCACACAGGCACCAAAATGTGGACAATAGTGAGCACCAAAGCGCACTACATGCATAGTGTCGGTCAAGGCTCACTTTCATTCAGCTCAACTGACAGGGATCATGAAGAATAGGCAACAGAACCAATAATGGTAAAAACTGACTTTGGAGGTGAATATCTTGCAAAGGGTCACACGTATAGATACAGTTCCATTGACTTTTTGCTCATATATCTCTAGGGGTGGCAAATCCCTCATTCAGAGTTCACATCTAACCAATTGAATAATTTTATTATTAAAAGTAACAAGTTAAAAAAAAAAAAGATCCTTGAAATTTATTATATTTAATTACAATTTACTATAGCAAATCATCCACAGAAAATTCGGTTATAAAGAAGGCATTATTTAAATAAATAAATACAGTAACAGTTCAAAGCAATTTTGAATTTTATATACCTCATTCCCAGAATTCAATTTTGATAATTCCAAGATATTCATTTTTCTTCTTTTTTCATAATTTAAAATAACAAATAGAACATTAAAAAGTAAATAAATCTCTTCCTCCCGAACTTTTCATATATTTCGATAAATTATCGTCGTAAGTAAAATTAAATGTATAATATTCAGAAAGCAGACGAAAAAATTCAAAAACAAACCATTCATAACCATTACCGGCGATCGCAGCACCACTCAAAAAAA